GCGGCAGCCTGACCCCAGAGGTCAGCCAGGGACAACAGGGCACGGGGGGGCCCTGCTGCCCGGGAGGGGGGAGCAACCCCCTGCTCCAGCCCTGGCACAAAGCCACCAAGGTGGCGGGGCTGGGAGGAGGCTGCACTGGGGGGCTGAGGGGGCGGCTCTGGACGGGGCAGAGGGGGCGGGCGGAGCTGGGCGCTCAGGGCGGGAGGAGAGAGAGGGAAAGGGGAGGATGGATGGACGGACGGGGGGATGCTGACTCCAGGCTGTGAGATTCCTGGGGGCACCTGTCTCACGTCAGCGGGGGCCGTTCCCCAGCAGGGGCTGCCCCCCCGTGTCACCATCATGCTGCCTGTTCCGGTCACCCCGGAGGGGCTGGGGCCGGGCCACGGGACCGTGTTGGCAGGCTGGGGACCCGGGCTGGGCCCATACAGTGTTTTAAGGCCCCTCGGCCGGATCGGGGCCGTGGTGAGCAGGAGGGTTCGGATGCGGAGGGGTTCCCGAACGGGACTCAGTGGGGTGGGGCCTCCAGGGCCCGTACCCCAGCCGCCCTCCTCAGCCTACGGTTCCCACCTCATGCTCACGGCCGGGCGGGCGGGTTTGGCCTCAGGACAGGACAAGCGCCCGCCGGATCAGAGCGGGGCTGAGCAGCCCGGGGGTCCCCTGGCATGTGCTGCAACAGACCCGTCAGCCCAGCTTGCGGGGCAGTCTGGGTGGGCGCTGTAGGTGCATTTACAGACCCCCAGCCGAGACCAGGGGGGCCCCCGGCGCACCACAAAGACCCCCGGCCGAGACAGTCCCTGCCTGTCACGGGGTCCACTCACCGCAGGTGACGCTGCCTCCTGCCCGCTCTGGGGATTAGCTCTGATCAGGCAGCACTGCTGTGGGACCGTCCCGCCCCGCGGCCCCCTGGCTCCAGGAGCCGCAGCCTCCTCTTGGTGAGTCAGGCCTCTGGCCGGCTGTCTCCGGGGTTCCCCCTTCCTGGGGGGGTATCAGAGTCCCGCAGCCTGCCCATTGCGGCACCACCTGTGCCACTCCGCCAGCGGCTGGCAGGGGAGCCCGGGCCTTCCCTGCGGCCTGCTTCGGCTGCCAGCTCCTGGGCTTTATACAGGCCCCACCTGGCTCCTGCCCAACTGCGCCTCATGTCTCTCAGCGCCGGTGTGGGGCGTACACCCCGTCCCCCTGCCCCATAGTGCTCCCCGCCCAGGTAGACCGAGGAGCGATTGTTATACCCATTTTACAGCTGGGGAAACCGAGGCACGGAGCTTGTGCGAGCCGCCTGAGGTGACTCGGTGGGTCTGTGGCCGCGCTGGGAACGGAAGCCAGGCCTCCCGCGCTCCACCCCAGCACCAGGCGCAGCCCTGCTGCCCGGTAACGCTGCGCTCAGTTCCTCTCCACTGGGCCCAGGGCCAGGCCACGGGGGCAGGTGTGGGGCCGATGGGAGTGGGGAGCTGCAGGTGGCCCCAGCCTGAGTCAGGGCAGAACCCAGCGCATGGCATCTGGCAGGGGCCCGGGGGGGCCCGTTGCCCAGAACCGCTGGGGACAGGGAGGGCGCTGGGCTGATGCAGGCCCTGGGCCTTTCGCTCCAGGGAGGGAGGGGGCCACATGTGAGCCTGTGCCCGTCATCTGCCTGATCAGCTTCCATTAAAGGGTCCCTGGGTGCAATGTATTGTGGGGCAGGGGTCTAGTGGTTAGAGCAGGGGGGCTGGGAGCCAGGACTCCTGGGTTCTCTCCCCAGCTATGTGACTACGTTCCTGGGTGGCCTTGTGCAAATCCCTGACTCAGTTTCCCTGCCTGTACGGGTCTAGCAGAGGCTGCGAGGATCGAGCCCCGACAGGCGTGCGGCTCTCATTCCAGGCAGCCGGGGTGGTAGGGATGTGGTGGACCAGCTCTCCTGGCTGCCCAAGCAGCGTGTCAGTGGCACAGACGGGCACGGCCGCAGGGTTAATGCCCTGGGACTCCGGGCTCTAATCCCTGCTCTGCCCTGATTCCCTGGGCACGTCCCTGCATCTCTCTGGGCCTCAGTTTCCCCAGCTGTAACGTTGGAGAATGATCTGCCCTTTGCTCAGACAGTGAGCAGTTTGGGGCAGGGACTGTCTCCTGCTGGGTCTGCGATGCCCGGCATGACGGGGGCCCCGATCTCGGCTGGGGTCCGGGCAGCGCCCGGCGCAACGGGGCCTTGATCTCGGCCAGGGTCTGGGCAGCGCCTGGCCCAAGGGGAAGGCCAGTCTCTTAAGGCCAGGAGGATGCTGGTTTCTGCCCTGTGGGGTTTGTGTGCGCTGCACACACCCCCCCCCCCCCTGCTGGTGGGCATGGGGTGGCTCTGGCTCCACCGGTTCAAATCCCCACATGGGGTGGGCTGTGTCTTCCCGATGGAGCGAACGCCCCCCCGTGTGGTAGCTGAGACGCTCCGCCCCAGAGGTAGCTGCATTTTAGGGAAGCAGGGTTGGGAGTGAAAGGCCCCAGGGAAAGGGGCAGCAGATGCATTTGCCACCGAGAATCAGGGACCGAGAGGTGCTGGCCCTTCTCCCCGCTCCGGCAGCTGGGCAAAAGGTCAAATACATCAAACACCCTCCCAGAGCTGGGAGAGAACCCAGGCGTCCTGCCTGCCCCAAGCTCCCCGCCACCCGGGGCTCCCAGCGGAGCGGGGCCTGCTCCCCTCGCCGCGCCCAGCTGGGTCCCTCCTCTCTCCCCCCTGCAGGATTCTGCTGACGGTGGTCGTCATCTTCCGGATCCTGATCGTGGCCATCGTGGGCGAGACGGTGTACGAGGACGAGCAGACCATGTTCATGTGCAACACCCTGCAGCCGGGCTGCAACCAGGCCTGCTACGACAAGGCCTTCCCCATCTCCCACATCCGCTACTGGGTCTTCCAGATCATCCTGGTCTGCACGCCCAGCCTCTGCTTCATCACCTACTCCGTCCACCAGTCGGCCAAGCAGCGGGACCGGCGCTACTCCTTCCTCTACCCGCTGCTGGAGAAGGACGCCCGGAAGGCGCGGAGCGTCAACGGGATCCTGGTGCACAACCCCGAGGGCTCGGCCAAGGAGGAACCCGACTGCCTGGAGGTCAAGGAGCTGCCCAGCACCCCCCGGCGCCCGCCCAAGAGCGCCAAGGTGAAGCGGCAGGAGGGCATCTCCCGCTTCTACATCATCCAGGTGGTCTTCCGCAACGCGCTGGAGATCGGCTTCCTGGCGGGACAGTACTTCCTGTACGGCTTCAACGTGCCGGCCATCTTCGAGTGCGACCGCTACCCCTGCGTCAAGGAGGTGGAGTGCTACGTCTCCCGGCCCACCGAGAAGACCGTCTTCCTGGTCTTCATGTTCGCCGTCAGCGGGATCTGCGTCCTGCTCAACCTGGCCGAGCTCAACCACCTGGGCTGGCGCAAGATCAAGACGGCCATCCGGGGCGTGCAGGCGCGGCGCAAATCCGTCTGCGAGGTGCGCAAGAAGGACCTCTCGGCCCTGGCCCAGGTGCCGCCGCTGGGCCGGACCCAGTCCAGCGAGTCCGCCTACGTCTGAGCCCCGGGGGCGGCCGGGGCCTCC